CTCCGGAATTCCTTTGCTGTACCTTGCCAGATGTGCCTCCGGGCCGCCTGCTACAGCCACGGGCGCCAGGCCCTACCTCTCAGGGCACAGTCAGGGGTGGGTAATCCCAACTAGGCTCTCGGAGCTTCAAAGCCGGTGCTCCAACCTTTAGCCCTCCGTGGCTTCGGAGTGCCCTCCCGGGTGAAGTCTGTCCTTGTTCGCAGTCCCTGGGGAAGTAGGTGAGTGGCCCAGACTCGCGCCTTTCTTCCAGTCCGGGCGCCCAACGTCCCGGCGCCGCCGAGAGTGGCCGGGATGCGTGGGGTCACTCTCCGGGCGTGTGTGGTGTGGCCGTGAGCTGGGGACCTTCCGAGAGAGAGAGACAGAGAGAGAGAGAGAAAGCGGGTTGGGGTCCGAGGTGCAGGGGTCGCGGCCCCGCCTGCGCCAATGCGCTCGCTTGCCTGACGTCTCCTTCCCGGCCTGACACGCAAGTATCTGGCCATCCTCTACCCGCTACACTCCCGCGAACTGCGCACGCCCCGCAACGCGCTGGCGGCCATCGGGCTCATCTGGGGGCTGTCGCTGCTCTCCTCTGGGCCCTACCTGAGCTACTACCGCCAGTCGCAGCCAACTTGACCGTGTGCCACCCCGCGTGGAGCGCGACTCGCCGCCGCGCCATGGACCTCTGCACCTTCGTTTTCAGCTACCTGTTGCCGGTGCTGGTGCTCGGCTTGACTACGCGTGCACCCTGCGCTACCTCTGGCGCGCGGTCGACCCAGTGTCCGCCGGCTCAAGCGCCCGGCCCGCCCAGCGCAAAGTGACGCTCATGATCATCATCGTGGCCGCGCTCTTCTGCCTCTGCTGGAGGCCCCCACCACGCGCTCATCCTCTGCGTCTGGTTCGGCCGCTTCCCGCTCACGCGCGCCACCTACGCGCAGCGCACCCTCTCGCACCTTGTCTCCTACGCCAATTCGGGCGTCAACCCCATCGTTTACGCGCTCGACTCCAAGCACTTCTGCCAGGGCTTCCGCAAGATCTGCGCGGGCCTGCTGCGCCGCGCCCCCTCCGCGCCTCGGGCCGCGTGTGCGGCGGGGCGCCCGGCACCCACAGTTGCAGCGTGCTGGAGCGCGAGTCCCCTGACCAGATGCACTTGAGCGAGGCGGCCACGCCCCTCACCCCCGCCCCGCTGCCTCCCAGGGGCCCCGAGCCCTGGCCCCTGCCGGGCCTGGCGGGACCAAAAGCCCCCAAAGGCGTCCTGACAGTAAACGTGACCTGAGGGCACTTGGGGGGGGGGAACTTGGGTGCTGAAGAGTTGGAGTCTGAAGTTGGGAGGTAATGGGGGGAGTTTCGTCTGCTAATAAAATGCGCAAGCCGT